CTCCTTTAGCCCGCTGCACATCTGGTTATTTATTTAGGTGACTGTTTTGCAATCCCTTTGCCAGGGGTCTCCGAGATTGAGAGGACCGGAAGACTTGCTGTCCCCTTGTGGCAGCTTCGACAGGTCACTGGGCCCGCAATTTTTAAGAGCACAAACGAATGAATAAAGGTGGTTGTCTTAACCCTTCCTCCCTTCCGGCTGGCTTCTGTAGCTGCAGGTACGTATTCCGAAAGGAGAACAGCCCATTGGCTGACAGTTTTCTACTGCCCTGGGATTTTAGAGCTGGAAGTTACAGAGCTCTTGGCAGGTGTGCAAAGGGGCATTATTATCTTACTGAAGAATATAGTACAGGACAGTGTAAGGATAGTTGTTAGATTGAGTGAAGACATGGCTGTAAATTTTTCACCCTTCTTCAAAAGAGGGGAGAATATATATATGTAATATATATAAAATATATATTATATATAAAATATATAAGACTACATCGTGTATATGAAATATATAATATATAGATATATAAATATAAATATATAAATGTATAAAATAAGGATTGGAAGCAATTAGCCCCAAACATAACAGAGCTGTGTCTGTTTACCATTATACTATAGTTGTTTTATTTTAGGAATCAAAACTTTCTTTACTATCTTGGTATATATAGACTAGATGAAGCATCAAAGGGAATTATTCTGCATTTGCAATAAGGAAAAGATAATCTGCCCTTTTGACTTTACCTAATGCTATTAAAGATTCGGTTGTGCAGAAGTCTGGTTTTTCAGAAATATGATCTGAGCCAGAGTCTCAGGTACCATGGCAGACACAATTGGTGCTTTGTTTCCTGTTACTGGCCTGTCCCCCACCCTCTCCCCCCTACACTGAGAGTTTTAGAGTGAAGGTCCCTGACACAGAGGAATTTGTGCCTAAGGCAGGGGGTACCCTTCTGGTTCCTCAGCTACTTACAGAAAGAATGAAAAACATCTTATACTTCCTGCAAATTTCTTAAGGTTCCTGTCTTTGTGATTTGCTAAATAAATTTTGTAACTAAACCTGCACTAATGAAAAAGAGACTTTTGAAATAAATACACTATTTCAGTTATATCATTCCCCTTCATAGTTTTGTGAATTAATAACAGGCATGCTATTTGTTAGCTGATTGATTTACAATGTGCTGGACAGTGGGCTTAGTTGTAGTCCAAATTCTGGCTGAAGCTGAAAAATTAGGCATATTTTTATTTGTTTGGATCATGACTGGAAAAGGAAGGAACTGAAGGTTTTGAAAGGAATCTAAAAGTCTTTCGAAGTCTTCGTTTCGAATCTTTTGAACTGAGATATTTATATCAAAATTATAGGCCATTTATCAATAGAAAATAAATTCATAATGGCAAAATGTTACTATCAACTTAATAACATGTTTAAGTGAATTTGCATTTTACTAAGGTAGAAAACAGCCAGCTACATGGGTTTGGAAAACAAAAGCATGAGTGTGTGCACATTCAGTTTTAGAAAATATTTGGTGCATGTGTGGATTTGTGGGCCCATTCATGCATTTGTTGAGCACCTGTTGGGCAGAGCACTTTGTTTTGAGTTCAGATTGGGAGGGAGGGGTGGATACAGCGTTGTGTAAATAAGTCACATTCCTGTCCTCATGGAATTTGCACAATGCTGGAGTCCTCCAGGACACCTTGAGATCATAGATAAGAACCATATCAGTGATCATCTACCAGTTTTGACAGTGACTGAAACTAGATTATCTTCAAATCACATACTCTTTTCACCAATTTAGTCAACTCTAAAATTATAAAGGAACTTATATATTATTCAGGTCAGTGTTTTTCTCTCTTGCTTAGATTGGGGAAAAATTTAGGAATCACATGTTCTGGGTTAAATATTAAGAAAAATTGAGATGTTAAGTCTGAAATAGCTAAACATCAATTTTGTGCAAATTAAATAAAAACTAAACTTGTAGTAGTGGGTGCCAATAATTTAGCATATAAATCAATGAATGAAAAACTTCAAATTGAGAAAATTCTATCCATCACATTGTTTTTTCTGTAAATTAGAAAAATATGACTATAATTATATTTTGCTCCAGAGGAAAAGACTTACTTTGTCCAAGGCATTCTTGCTTCTTTTTTTGTTGTCATTGTTGCTGTTTTTAAAAAAACAGCTTTATTGGAAGTATAATTTACATACCATAAAATATATCCAAGTGTATGATTCAATGATCTTTAGTAAATTTATGGAATTGTGCAGCCATCACCACAACCCAGTTTTAAAGCATTCTCAGCATCCCAGAAAGACCCCACCTTCCTATTTGTTACCCCCAGACAACCACTAATCCGCTTTCTCTCTCTTTAGATTTGACTTTCTGGGCATTTCACACAAATGGGATCATACAATAGATGGTCTTTCGTATCTGGCTTCCTTCACCTAGAACCAGTGGTTTTGAGGTTCATTCAGGGTGTAGCGTGTATCAGTAACTTGTTCCTTTTTATTGCTAATTACTATTCATTCTATTCTATGGCTGGTCCACATTTTGTTCACCAGTTGGTGGATAGTTCTGCATTTACATTTTAAGTGGTAAGACAGATACTTTGGTCCAGCTTCCCTGGTAGCATAATTAGAAAATAATTGATAGGAGCCAACCTCTTATTTATATTTATGAAAAATATAATCCTGGTATGGATTACTGCTATTTTCTGTGATCTTTCTGTGATACTCCCATGAAAATAGTAAATAGTAGACCCTGTGCAAGTAGCAGAAAACATCAGTCATTTGGTATTCTAGGTTGGACTTGGAAGATGTTTTGCTCTTGACATTCATATTTGCAAAGAGAATTCATATCTCCTTTGCTACATTTTCTTCACAAATCATGCATTTAGAGTGGGTGAATTTTGATGATTGTTTGACCTAACAGTGATAACTGAAGTACCCTCAAAAATCTTGAGTGTTTCCTAATAACATATTTTAATGGCCCACTTAACATAAAGCATGAGTCATCTATAGCCTTAAGCCTTAAAAAGTTGAAGGGAGTGAATGTGAATTTATATGCTTTTTGTTTTATTATTCAATGGTTTCTATGACTGTGCTAAAGAATAAAACATACAGCTGTTTATTTACAAAATCAGGCACTAGTTTGAGCTCTTAGATCAGTGAAAATCTAAAACAGAAAAAAAATTCCACTTCTTTTTTCTCTGGGACCTTTTTAAGGAGCTAGAGCAAAATTATAAATTACTCCAAGTTCCTGTTAAGTGGTGGTGTTTTTCTGTGTGTCATCCAGAGAACAAGCCAAATCAGAACTTTCTAACACTGCAAAAGCGTTCACCTTTGAATTACCTTTCTAAGGAATCAGGAACCTTGAACAGCAGTTTGGTTAGAGCTGTTCCCTTGCACACCCCCATTCATCCTACTTTATGCCAACTACTACAGCAAATACATTCTTAGGAGGTTGTGCTTGACAACTTACGCTTAAAGATCCTCTTAGAAGGATTTCTCTGGTTGAGTAGAAACCCTTCTAGAAAAAGTTGGCAAATTCTGTGAAACTAAAGAGAAGACAATATGTCTCTTCATGCCTGAAGTTACTGCTGAAATTACACTTTCCTACTGGGGAAAAAAGAGCATTAATATAACTTGAAGGTCTATTTTATTGACAACTTAGAATGTGAAGGATTTTATTTTTAAAATTCTAAAATTTGAAAACAAGATAGTCTAGATTAAATAATGTAGTTTTCCAAAGCTGAATGTGCTCATTTGGAACTCAGTTTTTTCTGCTTGAAATACCAGAACAACTTGTGCTTTTGATGTTCTGTGATTGGATGAATTAATCAGTCTCTACGGCTAATGTCTTTTTTTTTTTTTTTTTTTAACTTGGTAAGGATTTAAAAATCTCTAGAACAGGTGCATTTTTCTAGACTTCACTGACAATGTCATTCCAGATGTCTCCTAAGAGTTGTATAGCCTTGACAGGAACCTGTCTCCATCCTTCCCACTTTCATATGCTCCGAAATTGGTGGGGATACGCTTCCCCCCCCCCCAGTTGTGTCTGTTCACCTGCAGGAGGAAGGCTTGATCAGCATTGAGCTGTGAGAGTCTATGAATTATTTTGCTGAGCTCACTCACTCATCACTCATGATGATGTGATCTGTTATAAGGAACTAGGTTTTACCCAGAGCCAGAAGCTGCCCTCACCATGGTTATCTTTCTGTGAGCTCCCGGTTTGGGGAGGATGCTGCACTGAGCATGCGCATCAGTCTGACATCTAGCTGCCACGGGAAGGTCCTCACTGCTGCCGGCGGTGGCCATCCTGGACAGAATTTGGAGTCCCTGACCCAGTAGTCTACGTGCAAATGGGCCGCAGTGAAGAGTGGAAACATGTTTTGCAGCTAGAAAACGATTAAGAAGGGGATGGGTAGATGAGATAAGGAATTCTAGGTTCATGAATTAGATTTAAATCTTGTCGTGGCAAATACTCTTATTTACTTCTTGTTTACTTCTATAGATTTCCTCCTACTTTTCCACTTTGGTGAATAAGTATGGTTAACTTTCTTAAGATGTTTAGGATTTCCCTGGGGCTCCTCTGTCACCATATTGAATGTCAGGCTCCCCTGGCTATTCTTGTGGCAACAATGGTTCTACTTTACCTTTTAACAATCCTGATTCCATCACTGTTTTGTTTTGTTTTGTTTTGTTTGCCATTTACATTGTTTAGGGGTCAATAATTTGAATAAAGGGAAACAAATCCAGCTAATTGTGACTTCCAGTTAGTGCTGATAAAATCAGTGAAGGCCCTTGGCTTTTGAAATCTCAGTTGTACTTTGCTTTCTCTAGGCTGCTGTTGCATGATTATTATCTTTAAAATAGAAGTATATAAGTTCACCTTTTTTAGCGCAGAGTTCTGTTAGTTTTGATGAATGGTTGCAGTCATGGAACCACCATCACCATCAAGATGTAGAACAGTTGTGGGGCACCTGGGTGGCTGAGTCGGTTAAGCGTCTGCCTTCGGCTTGGGTCATGATCTCAGGGTCATGATCTTGGGGTCCTGGGATTGAGCCCCACGTCAGGCTCCCTGCTTAGTGGAGAGTCTGCTTCTCCCTCTCCTTCTGCCCCCCCATCCCACCCTCGCTCATGGGCTTGCTCTCTTTCTCAAATAAAATCTTTAAAAAAAGATATAGAACAGTTATGTTTTCCCCCCCGAAAACAATTCCCCTGTGTCCCCTTTGTAGTCAATCCCTCCCCCACTCCCAGTTCCCAGGTAACCACTGATCTGTTTTCTGTGCCCATAATTTCGAATTTTCTAAATCTCATACAAATAGAACTATTAGAACGTAGCCCTTTGGATTTGGCTATTTTCGGTCAGGAAAATGCTTTGGAGATTCATCTACATTGTGTGCATCAGTACTTCATTCTTCTTATTGATGAGTAGGATTTACCTTTGGAGGAATATTTGAATTTTTTCCAGTGTTTGGCAATTAGAAACATTTGTGATTTATGGGACATAGACCTTCATTTCACTTAGGTAAATATCTAGAAGTGGGATTGCTGGGTTGTACAGTGAGTGCTTAACTTTATAGGAAACTGCCTTAGGGTTGTCCAACGTGGCTGCCCACTTTGCATGCCCATCAGCATCAGACAGGAGTTCTAGCTACTCTGCATCCTCATTCACGCTTGCTGTTGTCTTTCACCTCCCTTACTGGATAATTTTTTTAAAGGAAGTAAATTATGTTGGAGCTAACATATTCCAGGATGAGTTTAGGAAGCTAAAGGTATTTTGTGGATTCCTGAACCTTTCACTCTTAAAATATTTTATAAAGTCACAAGAGAAATTTTCCAAAAGGGTACCTTCCTTTTAAATGTTACAAATGACTAAAATATATGTCATTGACATGTTTCTTTTCATGTTCTCATTACAGACAAATCCTGGGTGGTTTTGAGTTGATTGTTAACTGAGGTCAAAACAGGAGGAATAGTTGACTGATGGGGGTGATGGCGGGGGGGGGTGGATAGTGAGGGGACAGTTGGGCTTATGCTTTGACACTTCCAAACAATGTCCTATATGCAGATGTCCTTAATGGGCTGTGGATGTCAATATGATTATTTAATATTCTTTGTGCTTGGTGGGTCAGACACTTCACGAAACATTTTTATGCACTGTCCCGTTTAATCCTCATATAACTTTGTGACAAATTCAACAGTTTCGTCTGTTGAATTTTCAGTTGGGGAAGCTGAAGCCTGGGAAGTTTGAAACTGTTCCGAGGCCACCCAGCTAGTGAGAAGTAGGAGGGCCTCATGGACAGCACCGACCAAGTCCGAAGCTGCCATTTTTAAGCCATGAAGCCATACTGCCCCTGTCCGTGGAATAATTGGGACAAAAATATCTGCTCATGCTTCTGAAGGACACACTGGGGAGCTCACAGCAGAAGTGACTTGACTGTTACTTAGTGACCTGAACTAAACTAGCTCGGGGCCAAGAAAGTAGGCTTAGAAATCCACTCAGAACAGAAGGCAAGGTGGTAAGATGGAAAGAACCAGCAGACTCAGGCTTGAGATCCACGGCCATCGTTAACTAGCTGTTTTGCTTCATCTTGCTCAGCTACATTTCCTCATCTATAAAATGGGAATAATAACACCGACCTCTCAGAGTGTATGTGAGGATTATTAAAGAAAGTAAACCCTAGCCTGCATGCAGTAGGTGCTCAGCAGACTCTGGTCCCTTCTCCCCAGTGGTTCCCCCAGATGGGAACAGATTCATGTGATTTTTTCCCTTTTTTTGCAGGGAAAAAAAAATTGTTTAGTTGCTATACTGGGCACTGGGTGAAATCTTCAGCTGTTTTCAAAATTTCAAATTATGCCAATGAACGAGGAAGCATAGATTATTTCATTACAAAGACACCTCGATCTAAGGTCATTCTGTCTCGGTTCAGGTGGAGAGGTCAGTTGATGACAGTGAAAAACTTGAATCACTGTTCTGGGACTTGGTTGCATTACACATACATACATGGGTGGATTTAGTTACAGGTACAGATAGGTAATAGGTATAGTGGTACAGTATGTTGTAATGATTAATTTTGACAGTATATGGAAAACTATTTTTTAGTAAATGGCACAGTGTTTGTCAAGCCCATTTATTTGTATATTGTGTGTGTGCCAATATTTCAATCCTTTTTGCAAAATGAAGTAACTTTTATTTCCTATCTAAGAGCTTTCTATAGTGTTGGCTATGATGTAAATATCTGTTTGTATATAAATGAGTATCACAAATGAATAAAATTAATTCTACTTAAAAAATCTTAGATTATTACTTGAAAACAACGTCATTATTACTGGAGCTGAGGGTTAACATGCGTGTCTTCTTATAGACGCTTACCTCCAGCGTCGCTTTCAGGTAGAATGCACAGTCACCTGAGATTTAGCCAGCTGACACTGGATGTCACCATTGTGCTGTGTAATGTAGCTGCAGAACAGGTGTGCTATTTAATATTCAAGACACAGTCAGTCTCTTCTAGGGTTTGGAGATCTGTTCGCGTTCTTTCCCTCATATAACCTAATGGCCCTGGTTCACTTTTCTTGCAACTTACTTTTTCAGCTTCTCAAGAAGAGTGACCAAGAATGATGATGAAACAATATTCAATATTGTTAGCTCAGAACTCGGAAACTGCTAAGACCAGTCAGGGCTCTTGGTTGCAAACCAGCCAGTGAAGTCCATTGACTGGAGAACTTCAGCTGAAAAGGAATTTCCTGATTTGGAAATGGGAGAATCCAGTGGGCTGATACCTCAGCCAAGATCAGGCTGTCACAAGAGTTGGACAGAGTCTTGGCATTGCCACTGGTCACTAGATGCCACCACTGGTGTTCCTGCCATCCGGACACAAGGCACCGCTCTGTGCCAGACTCCTTCCCTTCCCAGAATAACCACAGGGTTTCACTGCCTCCAGCTTCAACGAGTCCCAGGGCCAATCCCTTACTGGCATTTCCAGAGGGGAGCACCCAGTTGGTGGAGTCTAAGTGTTGGACCTGCGCTCCAGCCCCAGTGAGGGAGGAAGAGCGCGCAAGGGACATTTCCTGCAAAGACTCATACAGGTGGCGATTCCGCATATCTGTGGAGGAGCCAAACATGCCATGCATCCACCATGGTGCTTTTCAGTTAGCGCCCACGGAAGTGAATTGAGAGCACTGCTGTGCAGTGAACTGAACCCTTTTTTCAAATTAGCCACTGTCGTAAGCACTCTGTGATGGAGATGTTGGGCACTCATTTGTTTTTTGAGGGTACAGTATCCGGGATCCAGACCCCCATACGGGCCTGGAGAAGAAGGATGGAATCCGTACTGCACAGAGGCGCATGTCACCACCGCTAACATAGCCAGGAACAAATGTTCAGGGGTTTTGGTAGATCTGGTCATCTCCAGGACTCTCTCCGCCCTCTGAGTGAGGGTCTTCAGTTGCTCCCAAGTTGGGGGTGTTTTGGGGGGCAATTTTCATTTTCGAGGTCTCTTCAAGGAGAGTGTTGCCATCTCTCGGACAGGGGGTTGGGTAGTCAATCCCTGCAGCAGCTGAGAGACCTCTTCTGTTGTCTTCATTGCCAGTCCTGGGCCGGACTTTCCGAAGAGGTATCCAAATTGCTCAACTGGATCCATCTGGAATGACACAAGCATAACCAGGGCCTCGGGTAATTAATTTCCCGGGCAACCAATTATTTTCATCATTTTTTATCCACACGGGTGCATCCTGAGTTGAGATTGAGGCTGGCAAGAAATGTTTGTCAGCTCTAGTAATATGGTTCTCATTGGGGTAAATTTAGAAAATTTAAAATAAATAAAGTTTGTGCCATGACGTCTCGGGGAGAGTTTCCCCCTTTCTTTTTTGAAATAGTTTTACGGAGTTGTTTTTTAATGGTGGCATGCGCCCTTTCTACTGCAGCCTGTCCTTGAGGATTATAAGGAATACCTGTGATATGCTGTATTTGCCATTCTGCAAGGAATTCTCGTACTTTCTTACTAGTATATGCTGGGCCATTATCTGTCTTGATACAAGTAGGTAACCCCATAATAGCAAAACATTCAAGTAAATGAGAGATAACATGCCCAGCCTTTTCTCCCGTCAATGAAGTAGCATGAAGAAATCCTGAAAAAGTGTCTTATTGTAACATGGATATACGAGAGATGTCTGAAAGGTGGGAAATGAGTAATGTCCATTTGCCAAATACAATCAGGAGCTGTGCCTTTGGGATTGATGCCTGCTGGATGCTGGTTAAATGTAGAGGTCGACAAATAGGACAGGAAGAGACTATTTGCCTGGCAGAGTGCAAGGGTATTTTATAGTGTGAACGTAGGCGGTTGGCGTTGGTATGAAGATGGACATGTTCTGCTTGTGGAGTTTCAAAAATAGGAGTAGCCAGTAAATCAGCAGATTGATTCCCTTGTGTAAGAGGTCCAGGGAGGTTAGAATGAGAGCAGATACGAGTAATGAACAAAGGGTGAGTTCGAGATTGAATTTCTAATTGTAATTCCTGAAGCAAAGGGTTAATGATAGAGTCGTGGAAATGAGAGCTGTTTCTAAAGGCGCAGCAATGCCAACTACGTAAGCAGAATCAGATACGATATTCACAGGATAACGAACATTTTGCAATAAGAACAATAAAGCTGCAAGTTCAACTTGTTGAGCAGAAGCGTAAGGGGTTTTCATGGAGCGCTGAATAGCAGGGCCCCAGACTCCGGCACGCCAGGAGGAGGAGCCATCAATAAAGTATGTAGGAGCTTAGGGGACTGTAACGTTACGAACCACGCAATTTATAACCCAGGCAGTGCGCTTTAGAAGTCCCATAGTTTACCTGATGGATAGTGGCAACCTATGCGCCCAGTATAATCAGCAAGAGATATTTGCGGATCAGTAGAGAAAGGAGGGACTTCCTTAAAGGATGTGGAAGAGATAGGTAAAACAATGAGCACTGGTCAAATCCAAGAATTTGAATAGAACACTTTCATCCTTGGAGAATGAGTGAAGCGACAAGAGAT